TTTTTGGAGAGAGAGTCTCACTATGTAGCCCAGGCTGGCCTCGATCTCACGGCGATCCTCCTGCCTCAGCCTCTTAAGGACTGGGATTATAGGCGTGTGCCACCACGTCCAGCAAAATGTGTCAACTTTTTAAGATAGTGCTTAATGTTATTTTAGTGACACATATTTTAAAACACATAGTAGATAAAATAATAAACCTAAAACTGCTCTTTCTGGGCTGGGCATTTAGCTTGGTGGTTCTGCCTCCTATCTCTCCAGCACAAGATCCCAAGTTCGATCCTGGGTGATGAAGAAGAAGGAGGGGGGAGGGGGGGGAGGAGGAGCAGGAGGAGGAGGAACCTGTGGCTCCTCCAACTCTCCCTGCTGAAGACATTAGAAAAGTTCACCTACTCTTGGCATTGGCGTCTGCTTCATGCACAGGACCCTCCTTGCATCAGCTTGCTGGGTTCTCCTTGCCCTCCCCCCACATCAGCCCTGCTAGGAGGGTGGGTACTCCTGATCACCCGAAAGAGCTTCCTCTTTAAAATAACAGCTTTGTGAAATATAATTCACATACCACAAAATTTACTCTGTAAAAAATGTACAATTTGGAAGCCAGGCTTGGTGGTGCACACCTATAATCCTAGCACTCTGGGAGGCTGAGGCAGAAAGATCACAACTTTGAGCCCAACCTGGGCAACTTAGTGAGACCTTGTGTCAGAGTAAATAATAAAAATGGGGAGGGGCTGGGGATGCTGCAGAGGTCCTGGTTTCAGTCCCCAGAACACCAAAAAAGTGCAATTTGGTGTGTTTTGGCAACTTTACAGGGTTGTGCAAGCGTCACTGCTGCATCGTTCCAGAACCTTCCCATTCCCCTCGGAGGAGACCCAGCCATCGCGAACAGTCGCTCCCTTCTCCTCCCTCCCTGCTCCTTGTCTGCTTCTGTCCCTGCCGATTTTCCTATGCTGAGCACCCCACACAAACAGGCCCGTGATAAGTGGCTTTTCACGGCTGGCTTCATTCCCTTTTCAGAAGATCTTCAGGATGTACCCGTGTGGCAGCACACGCTGGTCCTGTATCCCTTCTGCTGGCCGTAGAAAGCTGCGCCTGTTCATCTGCCCATCCGCTGGCAGGCGATTGGGTTCTTTACTCCTCTGGCTGCTGTGAGTCATACCCGTATCCTTCTCTGACTGTACAGGCAGCGTGACTGCTCCCACCGTACTGACGAGGCCCTCAGCCCACACCTCGAGGTGGCAGCCTCCTCTTTGCAGCAGCCTTGCCACGCCGGCCCCAAGGCCCTGTGGCAGGGTCAGAGTTCATCCACAATCCCAGGCCAGCTTTGCTTCTGATGTCCGGGGGAAGCCATGGGCCCCTCCTGCCCCGCACTTCTGTCCTCCACCAAGCGCAGCCTGTGGTGGCTCCTTCTGCTGCCAGCAGGTGAGTGGGTGTCACTGCTAGGACTCTGGCACACCCGTGCATCCCCCGGCTGTGTCGAGGATGCTCCCTCAGGCCACTCATTGAAGTTGTCAAGGCCTGGGGGTCTCGAGAGATCAGCAGCCATGGACGGGCTCCCAGGGAGAAGGCGGAAGGGCTGTCACTGCTTGGGCGACAGCAGCTGTGTCACCTTGAATGTCCCAAGCTTCAGCTTCTTCATCTGCAAGGCACGACTAGCTCTGCGGACCTCCCAGGGCTATTCTGGGGACCCACGATGCCCGACTGGCACCTGGGCTCTGGAGGGCTCGGGACGCCCACATGGCCACTGTTGTCACTTTGTTCCTGCTGTCCCAGATGGACTGCTGCTATCTGGATTCTGGAGCTGGAATTCCCCACCTGCTAGGCAGCAGAGCCCTGGAGCGGGCATGCTGTGTGCCCGACCCTGTGACAATCTCCCTGCTGCACAATTGCCCTGCCTGCCTAGCTCACAGGAAGTGACGTGTGTGTATGTGTGTGTGTGTGTGTGTGTGTGTGTGTGTGTGTGTGT